CTAATTACACTTAGACGCATGTGCAATATGTATATCTATAGCGCTCACGATCGCTCGTCGATCGTTGGCAGCAGCAGCAGTCTCGAAAATGACTCGGTATTTTTCTTTCCACACGCGTTCCGAATCTCTCGCTGCTGCTGCAAAGTCGCCTGCACGCACGCAGCGCACTTTATACCCGCACACACACATGGACACGGAGGGCACAATGTGTATGTAGATATACACACGCATTAACTTTCCATACGGAACGTACACTCGAAAAAATTCCTTTCCTCTGAGGCGACTCCGGAGCTGTACTTATATATTCTTTTCGAATCATGACGGACCTCGAGCCTGCTCTTTTTTTTCTCTCTCTTTACCTCCTCTTTCTCTCTCTCTCTTGCTCTTTTCGAGGATCTCAACGGGCTTTTTTTTGCAAAGGTGCAGCTGCAACAGCACGAGTTCGAGGCACAGCACCTGCATGCACACGTCCAATCGTATATAAGACTCGAATTCGTGCGGGCCTCCTCGCCCGCGACCGACCGTGCACGGACGTGATTTTTGTAACCGACGCGATGATACAATTCTCGGCTACGTAATTACCATCTAATCATCGAATCTCTACCAGAGTTTTTCGAAAGTTTTCTATGTAAATTGTCTTGTATAATGAAATAAAAAAAAAAGAAGAAAAAGAAAGACGAAATTCAATTGGAGTCATTTAACTTTAATATTTCTTTGCCAAACAAATCATAGAAATGGCCCGGTTAACGATCCCAATGAAAGCGTCCGTATAATTATCCAAGTATAACTGTGTGAATGAGACGGGCCTTTAATTACTTTATATTTGTTATAGAATCGTGTTCGATCCTGCGCGTGACTCACACCTCGTCGTTATACGCGTAAAACAAAGTTTGGCAATTCTTCCGTAATTCGCACCAAAAAATACAGTTTCGAGCATTACTTTTACGGACGAAAATCGGAGGGTCGCGTAGCAGTCGTTCGGTCGGTTTTGGTCGGCCCGAACAGCCTCTCGGCGCGTATACAGTACGTATCTCTCGCATGTATTATATATGAACTCCGCGTAAAGAATGATGGGAGTGTCGATCAGCCAGACAGGAGGGAATTAGGGGTCTTTTTTGCGTTCGCCGTATACCTATATAGCCTATATATATATCGCCACAAGTGGAATCGACGACTCGAGTCGAGAGATCATGGCGGGATCGATTCGCGTTGATTTTTTGCGCCCGTCTTCCCGAAACTGTCCGGGGCCAAGCAGCACCAAGCAGCAACCGAGGCTCATTCCTAATCGTCGAACGAAAATAAAAATAAGAAAGAATAAGAATAAGAATAAAAGAAGAAAAAACTTGCGAACTTGCTCGATTTTACGCGTTGAAAATATATACAATATATCCCAGTTCGCTGAAAATAAATCCGACTTTTATCGATGAATCATACGCTCTCTTGCACTTTGTTTTTATCGTCCAGCTACACGATACACACACACAGGTATATATTCCATGTGTACGCCGCTGTGATAAAGATCGATAAAGCAATCGCAATGTGTGCGCGCGACGCGTTTCAATATCGCCTTGTTATTGATTTTTTGGGCTTGTTATGCGAATCGTACGCCTCGTATTGCTAATCGTATTGCTCGCTCGGATATATAACGCGCGGTATTATTTAACAGAAAGAAAGAGAAAAAAATTAGAAATACAGCTATACAAATTGATAAAGCCGAGCGCGCGAGAGCGTTGATATACCTGGCCGATTTTTGAGACAAAAGATAAGTATGAAGTGGGAGGGAGAGAGAGCAGTTATTCAGCGAAACTATTGGATGAGAAAATACTTTTACTCGAGTCACAGGTGATTAATAAAACGTACGCGGACACGTGTTTTTAATGTGGATCAAGTGGTATGATAGCGCGAGTCGCGGTACAAGTCGTGCGCATTCATCGTCTCTAACGAAGATTCCTCGGGCGAATACACGCACACATACACAAGAGCGAGAAGCAAATGAAGAGGAAGGGAATAAAAAAAGAAGAGAATCAACGCGATCGACTTATCGGTAAATTGAAAAAAAATGTGTCGAGTCGTGTATATTGGTCGGGTGTCGTAACGGCAGCAAAAGATGACTCTAGACAAAATTGGTCGTGTCGCTGATCGCTATGGAGCGCCTCGAAATCTATTCTGAAACTTTAAATTGTGTGTCGAACGATCGTCAGCAGCGACGTCATTTGAGAGGAGCTCGGCAAAAAAGTACGAATACGATCGAGAGAGAGAGAAAAATGCGTATAAACGAGGCCCAATCATCGTTGGCTTCGAGCACGCGACCCAAGCCGCGATATACAATGCAGCTGCAGCGTTGGTGATCTCGTTGCGGCAGCAGCGTATACGTACTACGCAGAAATAATTTCAAAATCATAATTCACGTCCTATAAGCGATCATTTCTCAAGACAATCGTTACTTTAACACGCGATAAAGAATTAAATTTCCCGAGAAGTGACTACTGTCAACACATTGGCCTGGTGGCAGGCCAGAAGCAATAGCAGCAGGCCGCACAGCTCATATACCATGTGTATGTATTGCTCAATGATATGTGACGTTAATCGTCGTCGATGTCGATGCTGCCATGCCTGCGCGTAAAAATCCGCGCGCAGCAGCAGCAGCAGCAGCAGTCGATTCCAATGAAAAAGTCGTTGGCGTTCGCACGCTCGACCAGAAGCAGAAAGATATATAAGAGAGAGAGACAGACGCACACGCATACTCGGAGAGCCGCTTTTAACGCCATTCAGGGGCCCATAAAGTTCGACGAGAGATAGAGAATTAAATTCAACGCGATTCCAGGAGAACACGTCGTCCATATAATATGGCGCATTGCCGAGAGAGAGAGACGACGTCGAAGCTGGTCGCGAGCGAGGCGGACTTTTTATCGACACAACGAAAGTATCGAAGTTCAAAACTGCAACTCTGCTGGCCAGCGTGTGCGCGAGCTGCGACATTCCAAGGTGTCTCATTAAAAAAGTTCATCGATCTCTCTCTCTCTCTCTCTTTCTCTCAGTCACTTGCGGGCGCGAGCGATCTCGCGACTGCTGTGCGCGAGGGCCGATACCGATCTCTACCTGCTGTTGCTGCTGCCTTCAGCTGTGCGTATATTGACGAAAATCTCGAGATCGCGCACACATACACACACAGACACAGACACACAGGCTTGCGATCGTAAAGATCTCGCGAGTGTATAGCCGCTGAGCGAAGGACGTGTGTGGAGATCGCGACTTAACCGGTATTGCGCGGCACACACGATCGATAACGCCGCCGCCATGAGTCATATGTGCGCAGCGCAGAGTAAAAAATCAGCTGCACTGCTTCGCTCTTGCATAAATGCGTGCACGCATGCATCTAACCTATATGCAAACTAGGCAGCAGCAGCAGCAGCAGCAGCGATCCTTTCATACGGCAGTAGCAGCAGCATCAGCTCTGTGTATAGAAGGAGGATCGTTCGCGTACGCGAAATGCAAAAAAGAGATGCGCGCGCGTGCATACATTATGTAGGAGCTCCATTGCGAGCGCGTCGAGAGCGAGAGAGAGAGAGAAAGAAAGATGTGTGTAAGCACATCTCTCGAGGCGTGAGAAACCAGCGACCGGCTCTTTGTGCACTCGTATATAGACACACTATCCGCACTATCCTCTCTCTCTCTCTATAAGCTGCTCTCAGTCACTCGGGGCGAGCCTATATCGTCCTCTTTGTTGCTATTTATATTACGTGCGCGTGTACGCACAAGTTGGTCACACAATTTTCCGCATTTTTCTACTCGCGCGCGCAGCGACTCTCGCGTTTTTGGCGTTCACGTGGATCGTACGTACGGCCGCGTCAAGGCCGGCTCTCTCTCGCTCGAGTTCGCCTGCACACACACACACAAGAGCAGCTGCATGCCCGAGTGCAGCAGTGCAGTGCAATGAGCCACGTACAAGCCTTACGTGTACGTACGGATTCGAGTCTCTTTTGCACACGCATATAGGTGTGTGTGTATATATATAGCGTACACACAAGACGCACACGCGCTAGCGCATTCTCGGGGCCCGATCGATGCCTTGAAAACAGGTTTTCGGGCGCGCACTGCGGCTGGCTGACTGGCTGCGGTATATAAGATACCAGCGCACAGCATCGGAGCAGAGATGTAGCGCGCGCGTCCAGTGGCAGTGGCAGTGCCGCAGCAGCAGCAGCAGCAGCAGCAGTCGAACCTTTGTTTCTTCTATACATAATTCTCGATGCTCGTTGTGGCCCCCGAGCACCTCCACCAACACTCGCAAACACAGACACACACACACAAACACACATACATTATAATATACGGCACACGGCATCATCTTCGTCGTTCGATTGAATTTTTCACGCAAACGCGTTCCAACGCGTTTCTATAATGTCTCTCTACCTCTCTCTCTCTCTCTATCTTTCTTTCATTCTCTCGCTGGATGTGTTTGTCTGTGTACACGAGATCGCTGCGATCGCTGCCGCTGCCACTGCCACTGCGGCCGGCTGAATTATAATGCGGCCAGGTATAATAAGCCATAAGGTATGCGCGCGATCGGTGAAAAAAAGTCTCTCGCTCTCGCTCTATGTGTGTGTGTTATATGTATAGCACGTTCGAGGAACTGCGAGCATCATCATCATCGCCATCGGTCGTCGTCGTCGTCGTCGCGGCCACCGCACCGACTATATTATAATATACATATATAAACAGCGCCCCGTGTGAATCATCGTCATCGAGCTCCGGAACTCCGTTTTATTAATCCGTTTTAATAATGCGATGTATATGCAGAGAAGAGCTCGTCGCGCGTGTCCATATTATAATGAAGAAGATTCGACACCGAAAAATGACTACTGCACCGAAAATATCGCGTGTTCGCGCGTTCCGGAGTTAGCTCCACGCGGCACTATGTATACGTATATATACTAGCTTATACATATAATGTGCTATATACTATGTGTTAGAGCTGCATATCATGCGCGCTTTAAATCTACCTGTTGATTCGCTCCGACTTGCTTCTCTTGAATACAGAGCTCCAACGAATCTGCTTCTGCTGCTGCTTCTATTCTTCTTATGTCGCGTTTTTCGCTCTCTCTCTTTCTCTTCTATATTCTTCGCCCTCGCAGAGACTATATATCGTTGCTCCTTTTCTGCCTCGCGCGACTCTATATACGAGTACTTGTGTCTTGCGCGCGTATGTGTGTGTGTGTCTCTCTCTCTCTCTCTCTCTCTCTCTTTCTTTCTCTCTTCTCCCTTTTCTCGCAGTCGATGCAGTCTACACTGAAAACTCGCGGGATTATCGGCCACGAGTGCACTCAACTTGGTTCTCTCTTGGAGCACACAAATATTATATATTAAACCACACACTTACAAGCAACTTTACAATACGATAATCCTCTTTTTTGCACGGATTTTCAAATCGACAGTTCTTTGACGATATCACTGAATGAAATAAACACCACTGATTGCAGATTATTTATATCTTTCTTTGCACACCAACGATTTACGTCAAAACAAGAACAATAACAAAAAGAGCGACAGAAAGAACTTAACAATCGGAGCTGATAAACGCGTAGCTATTATTAAACACCAATAAAAGTTTCGTCAAACTGTAATCCCTTTTATGTAAATCAAGAAAACAAACGGACGAAAGAAACATATGTAGGGTAAATAAACAAAAATTTGCAAATAAGATTGAATTTAAATTAAAAAAAACGGAGTCTCGGCGTATACCGCCGCTCGGGGCAAGCGCCGATGCGCGACTGACTTGACCAGGTTTATATTCGCTGCGGCTGCCGCTGCTATATTGCCTTGTCTCTTTCTCTCTTTCTCTCTGCTGGCTGTCTGTATGGCTATATACACGCCGAGTGTAGGTAGAGGCTATATAATGTGCTGCGGTGGATGCGAGGCAGGCATCGTCTCTCTCTCTACCTCTCTTTCGCTGGCGCGCGCAAAGAAAGAGAAAGAGCACGAGCAGCTCAGCTCGGCAGCAGCAGCAGCCGCAGCAAATAGTAAGTCTCAAAAGGCGGGGGAGGGGACTCTCCTTACACACATACTCTATGTGTCCGCGTGCAAATGTGTGTGCGCGCCCGCGCTTATAAATGTACGTGCGTACATGTGCCGCTGCTGCTGCTACTTCTGCGACTGTATGGCAAATAATCGCGCGCGTATGTACACCTTTGACGCGCTCGAAAAAGCTTATACGCGACGACTCGTTATTATGCGGTGTACACCGTCGCTGATGTACAAAAGTTCATTCTTCGTATATAGTTGGACCACGAAGGATATTTGGCGTGTGTGTGTGTGTTTGTTGTGTGTGCTACCTCGCGGCTTTTAATGGATATTATAAACTCCGCGGACCCGGCCGCTCATTGTTATGTACTCTCGAGAGTATACATGTGCGCGCGAGAGACGTACATAAAAGGACAATTGTACAATACTGGCATTGGCCCCGGCCTAGCCGTTTAAAGCCTAGGAAAATTACACTCCAAGAAGCGGATGCATAGTTCAGTTGATTTTCACAAAATAATATACCTGCCTAATGCTCTCTCGTTCTCTCACTCTCTCTCTCTGACCAAACGATGGATCTGGCGATCTGTCTTTGAATAAACCTTCGTATAATGAGTGCGTGCGAGATATACTTAAAAAACGGAAAAGGTGTATATATAGCAGCTGCGGAAGAGAGGAAGTTCCCTTCGAGGATCTAGGGTTACAAAATTTGCTTTTAATTTCGCTTTGCTGCGCGACGAGAGTTTTAGAAACGATTATATTCCGTGCGTAGGCGCCAGCTCTCTTCTTTCTCACATACACATTGCATACATTGTCATTTTGTTCTTCGTTGAGCTCCTTTTCAAACTTTAGGATAAACATTGGCGCGCGCGCGACGCAGTTTCTCCCGATAGTGGTAAATTTTAATGGCTTATTGTTTAGGTATTTACAAGCTGCTGCTCTTTTATAGCGACAATACACACATAGACGAGGCCTCGGCATGTAAAAGCCAAAAGGGTGTAATGAATAATTTAGTGTTTTCATATACGAGCTGCAACGACGCGACATAACAACAAGTACCCGAGAGCACTAAGCGGTTGCTCGTTAAGGAAACCATTTTTATGTATATCTCAAGACTCCGAAAATCCCTCTTTACGTAATTTTCCTCCAAAATATCGAGAAAATTAAATTTTTTTAATGGATTTAAAATAGTTGAACGCGTATACGACACGATCATGTACAGTTCGCCCGGAGCATTAAACCGAAACATGGCGACAACGACGACTACGAGGCTGCAAATGTAATCACGCGCCTTATTATCAATTAACAATGCCAAGCTTTTGTGCCTTCGCGCAATCTCACGCGTACTTCGAGCGGACTAGAGCAGTATCGTATACATGGTTTGCCACAGGAGCGATCTCGTTGCGGTATATCTTCAACAGTATTCGATGAAATGAGATTTAGAAATCATGCGCTTTTTTTACCTATACAGCACAGTTGTCTACCTATACACATTCGCTGAGGTGAACAGGTATATATATCGGACGGAGTGCGCGGTAATGCTCCTTTGAAGCCCCGACTGATGTCATTTACCAGTTTACCTGCCGCCATGGAGAGAGAAAGAGAGGGAATCCATGTATACGTGAGAGATCTAGAAACGAAAAATTTTCTAAAAAAAAAAAGAAAAAAAGTTTCTCAAGGTACGAAAGGACGCGAGGAGGAGGAGGAGGAGGCGGCACATCGATGCAATTTTTTTCCTATAAATACAGACAGAGACCCAGTGCATGTATGTGTGTAAAAAGAGCTCGTCGCGGCGCAGCGTACTGCCGAAGGTATATAATACGGCCTTATCGACAAATGCGACTCCGTGTAATAAATATCGTGCAATAAAGATTAGATATAAAGCGCGAGCTGCTTTGAAATACGAGGCGCGTACGTACATAATACGCACGAGCGCACGAGTACACACACGCACACACACGTAGAAACAATATTTTGCAATTTGACTGAAATTGCAGCTCGAATGCGCGTGGAAAATATTATTTGAAAAAAAGAGTCAAGAAACATGGCTAATTAAATATTATCGAGTCAGCGTGGTGTGCGCTCGCGAGAGCGATGTTCGTCATATCGCGTTGCGCGTGCAAGTTAAAGTATATAATAGTTGCGGGGCAAACTTTTGCAGAATTTACGATCGCGCGCGCCAAGTGTCAGATCGGTCGCGCGGCTCATTTGCGCGCGAGCACGAGTCTAATTTAATCGAATTTATAAACAAGCCACGCATGAAAGTATATACACGCGCGCAGCGTATGCAAACTGTATTTTATTTTTTATTTAATGCATATAATGCGATAGGAGATCGATTGCGCTACGTATCTAGCTGAAAATTACTCAAGCTTCGTTGTGCGCCGAGCATCCGGGGGGTAGCTGGTTGCATATAGGCGTTCGTACCAACGCTACCCATATTTTAATTACAAAAACACCAAAGATTTCGTTGCAAAGTAACAACGGTCACTGCTGAGTGTTTGCGCGTGTGTGTGAGTGCGTAGGCAGTCCGCAATCGAGGTAAAACATTTGGAAATAAAACGAGATCACGGATCTAGCTCGTATAGTGTTATGCTATATAGTACTGCTTCTGCTCGCAATTGGCATTATATATGCCTTGGCTTTCGAGTTAGCCATGGCTCACGGCTCGAGAGCTCCTCGAAGCGCACACAAACTGCACACACACACACACACACACACACTGATACAGACACACACGATCGCGAGTATATTGCACTCGAGAGCTAGCTCGCTCGAGCTGGAATTAATTAGCGCGCGATATGCGATGCGCTCGACGTGCCAACAGCAGAACGCAACGTGGATTATACTTTTTTTAAATAAAAATTTTTTACTGTATCAATTTTTTCATTCGTTGCTTGCTAGGTGTTATGTGCGGCACCATTTTATACGTAAATATGTTATAGAGGCTGTTGATAGGCTCTCTCGTATTTGGATATGAAATTTCTCTCTTATATAGGTCTCGATTAATAATCGTCAAATCATTCGGGCATCATTAGGGAAGGTACCGGGGGCCCCTTCGGAAAAATCATGCAGCAAACGCGAGCGGCTGGCAGGAAGACGGCCTTGACTCTTCTCCGAAAAACTCGGACGAAATTCCCTGGGTTCGAGCTCCTATAATAGTTCTACACGAGCGTGTGTGTGTGTGTGTGTGTGTATTAAAATTGGAATCCTTTGAGCTCGATATATACGAGGTAGCGATGTACGAAGCAGATGTACGCGTACGAGTAGCAGCAGCAGCAGCAACGAGTCTCGCCGCGATAGCTGAAGCGAGGATAGGCGGCGGCGGCGGCATCGCGAGGTCTTACAGCACACACACTCGTCCTCGTCGTCGTCATCGTATCCTAGCTCGCGCGTACTTTGCAAGGGTATATAGCAGCAGCGCATATATATAGTGGCTGCTGCTGCTACTCTATCGTTAAGGAATGCGCGCGCCGGAAACCGGCCGACTACTCGAGTGTGGTGTGTATGCGCCTCCTCGCTCGGCTTGCTACAAGCTATATTGCAGCAGCAGCAGCAGAAGAAGCAGCAGCACGTGAGTGTATGTATGTACGTACGTGTGCTGTACACGCGCGAGTATAAAGAGCTGGAATCGGGATCGGGTTCTTTCTCTCTCTTTTTCTTGCTTCATGCTGTACGGGGTTCTCTCTCTCTCTCTCTCTCTCTCTCGTACCGAGCCAAGGCAAACGACCGCGGGAAGAAGCTGCAGCAGCAGCAGCAGAACCCGAGAGCGCGACTCTTCTCCTCCGCGCCTGCTTATGTGCGCCTTGTATGTAAGGCTGCGCGGATGCGATCTCGAGCCCAGCCTAGCATATATACACTAGGTGCACATAGCAGAGACTTCTTATTAAGCCTGCGCACATACATCCCTATCACATATATATACGGAGTTGAGAGAGTAATCGATTGTGTGCGGCAGCTATTATGCTATTGTGTATACGCCCCGTGTACGTACATACATATTTTTGTTAAATATAGTTTCGAGGTCCCCGAGAAGTGCGAAGCAACAGGTGATTCGCAGCACCTGCGCTCACACACGGACACACACACACACAATATAGCATACACACGCGTAGCTATATATGTATGGCACCTAGAGTCTCTCGACCAAGTCGATCTCAGTCCGAGACTCTTTGACTCGGTCATCGAGCTATCGTATACGCGCCTGCGTGCGAGCGGTGCACCGCGTGCACGTCGAGACGATCTCTCGAGTCGCAGCCGAGCCAAACCAGATTTTCCACTCGGTTGAAAGGAAAACCCGCGCGCGACGATCGTCGAAGCCTCTTCGTCTTTTATATATATATAATAATAAGTAAGCAAGAGGAGAGAAAGAAAGAGAGAGAGAATTAAAAAAATCGAGAAAATCAATGACCTACCGCGAACGAGCGCGCGCGCGATTTACCGCACATTTTTATTGATCGTCGCGACCATGCGCATCGCGCGCGGCTTTGATTATCCAATCTATCGAAAAAAGAAAGAGGCAAAACAACAAAAAAAAGACCTGCATCACAGCGGTGGAGTTTCGGAATTCAGAAAATTTAGTTATCTTCGCTCGCGTGCGAGAGATAATAATTATGTTATAAATATATACGTATGGGTATGTGTATGTGCGATACGATATAAAGCTTGGCTTGTATAAATTTTATTTAAGTT